GCCACTTTCCATACACCTTACACGCCCTAGCAGATTTGATCAAACGCTCATGGTCAAAGCTGTTCTTCATTCCCAGGTAATGACAGTCTCTGTCATATGGAAAAAGGAAACAGATGTTTGGAAATATGTGTTTATATTTAAAACAAGACACATTTAGAGTGTGAAATCCTATAAAAAAATACCCACCTGGCAAAATAATCCCACTTATCTACATCAATCTTGTTTATCGTGTTGGACACAATGTCGTAGAGGATGTAGCGCTTTTCTGAACGATTTGCGGGTGGCCTCTACAGAAGAACAACAGAATTGTAAATAATTATTGCCAGGTGTTTCACCAAACTCACTTACAGACATATACAGAAGAAGATGAATATATTCAGATTAGGGCTGCAACTAAAGATTATTTTACATATGAATTTATCTGACGATTATTTATTAGATTAATAAATAGTAATATAAGAAAGTCAGAGGTTCCCTAGAAGATTTTTTTCTGAATTAAACCAGGTTAAAAAAAGGGCTGTACGCAGGGCCCAAAAAATGCTGAGGTCTAGAGTCAGAACTTCTAGGTTGGTTTGGCAGCGTGCTCCCTAGAGATGTTTTTAATTCCATTATTTAAAGGGCAACTCCGTTTTTTTTTTTTTTTACATTGGGCTCTTGATTTTACATTATTACATCATGTTCTACTCACCCATATAAGTTTTGTGTCATTTGGAGCAGTTCTGAAGATATAACTGTTAGGTTATATCCAAGTAAGGTCTTCCTATGGGCAAATGACTTGAAGGCACAAACTAAACTGTTCATAATTTATTCATTATGGTATGCCAGCATTCATATTTTGTAGGTGAATCACTGTCACCCAGACATCCGCAGTTATATTTTTTATATTTATATCTTTTAAAAACAAAGCGGCGCGTGTATGACGTCGGACTGGAGTTGTGACAGGCAGCCCGGGCCACAGGTGGCTATGCTCTACCCCTTATATTCATTCGGCGAGCTAATCTGAATCGTTCAATTCCATTTCAAGAGCGAGATCATATGTGGTAGTAGCACTAGACATCTTCCAGGCATGTGAGTAAAACTAGCAGCAGTTCAGCGGACAGAATGAATGAAGGGTAGCCGGCGTGCGCGGATGACGTCATACACACGACAGCGATTCGCCTACTTGTTTTAAATGCTGATGTACCATAACTGATAAATTATGAACAGTTTAGTTTGTGTCTTCAAGTCGTTTGCCCATAGTAAGACGTTACTTGGATATGACCTAACGACCATTTTCAGAATTTTAAGGAGGAAAAACATGATTCTGATTAATTGTTTCGGCCCTGGTTCTAATGCTGCACTGGTTTTATACAGACCAGTCCATCACTTCTAAACCAACTCCCTGTCAAATTTCCTTAAGTTTCTATAATATTGATTATACATTTTTCTACCATTGCTTCCATAACATTCAAGGATTGTGGTGATGTTTTAGTACTGTATCAATGTTGAATATATATGCTTGTAGAACAACAATAGCAAAGTCATTCTAAAATGTTTATCAAAGCAAACAAGAAAGAAAACAACTATTTTTTCCTACATATTCTATTTTTTACTTTATTATCTACCTGTTTATTTAAGCAAACATTCATTGACAATATTTTTGCATTTTTCCCTTTAATAGTATAGACGTAGCTAAGAGGGTTTGTGAAAGGCGCATTTGTCCCCAAGAGCAAAAAATATACTGCGGTGAGGAAAAAAACAAATTTGATTTCAACATTTCTACCTGACATGCTTTTATTCTGAAAGCGCAATGCAACTCGATGTCACTGGCCCCGCCCCTTCCTCACCTGCTTTGATTGGGGCAGACACTGTAGGCTGCGCTATCAGCTAAATTCTATATTCAGAGACCTTCGAATGAGGTAAAACATCTATTTATAACATCTTGATGTTAGTTTATATTTTAATTTAGAACATATAGTTCAAGCTAATCTTAATCCTGGGATGGACATGGGACCTTTAAACAAAACCAGGACTCTGTCTTCTTGAAAAGAGCAATGCCAGTGTTTGTTACATTACACATCAAACTCGGCTATTTTAGATGGAAATGGATATTTTAAAGATGGAAAGACTGAAGAAGCTGGAGGGAGGTCTGAAATGATTAGTGATAAAAATATAACTTCTTGAGCTTTTAAATTTGAAACCCATACCGTGTTGCACTATATTATCTTAATGATGGTACCTTATATAACATATTTCTATCATTATCTTACACAATGCTTCAGTTATCACGCATTATAAATCCAACCTTTGAAACAGTTCAGGTATAGGTTCTTCTTTTCTAGTACCTGTTTTCTCGCTCCTCCTGATCCTCCTGTTGGTTGGTCAGTAGCTGGGATCGTCTTCATTATTGAAGAAAATCAACACAAAATAACATCAAGGATTCTGGTAATGTTTAGAACTGTATCAATGTTGAATATAACATAAGCAAAAACAGTAGTTTATATTGGCGCAAGGAAAAGTGAGAATAAACACTATTGTTATGAACAAGAGGAACTTTTTTGGGGGGGGGGGATTTTATCACACTAGTGGTAACCCATGTCGAGGACTAAGGCCTTCATACATGGGTCATGTGCGCTAACCACTGCGCGTCCAAAGCAAGCCCAATTAGATGAACTGTTAATGATAGATTCCAGGAGCTATCAGGATGGGTACCTTTTTTGGGGGGTCTATGAGATCCTTGATGAAATCCAGATCTTCTTTTAGATATTCTTTTAGATATTTTTTTAGAATCTTTTTAAGCTCTTCTATTTTTCCAGAATGTCCTTTATCCTTGTCCGTCATTATCTTCTGCACATCCTCCATCTTTGTTAGTACGCCATCTACTTTTTCAGAATCTTCGTCAGTCATTTTCTTCCGCACATCATACATCTGTTTTAGCAAGTCATCATTCTTTTCCATCAGATGGTCAATCATCTTTTTAGATAGTTCCTCATGCTGCAAGACACACAAAATTATTTATTTTGAGAACAGACCATCACATTTTGAAAATAAAAGTAACATATCTATCTGAATAAAGTGGAAATAGTCTACTTTGTATTAGACACAAAAGGACACCGTTTATCTTTAAATGTGGGCAGACATCATGTGTGATCATTATTTACTTGGGGGCTGTGATCAACTTTTATTCTAACTTTGACCAATAGATAAGAACTGTGTTATGCAAGAACTTCCACTTAGTACTTGAAAGATTTATTTAAAAACATTTGTAAATAACTGTTTTAGTATTACTTATGAAGTTATAAGCAGAATAAAAATTGAGTTTAATTTGCTCACAGTGATTCTTTTTAGGGAGTCTCAAATCTGAGTTTGCTTTTATTGTAATGAGAGGATGTGTACATTACATCATATTCAACAATAACAAAGGCATAAATGTTTATCAAAGCAAACAAGAAAAAGAGGCATGTTAGGACAAAAAAACAAAAACAGGTTGTATTAGGCTTAAAACTTTGAAGTAATAGTGTTTATTTTTCCTACACATTCTCTTTTTGCACTTTACTATCTGCCTGTTTATTTAAACAAAAATTCACTGACATTTTTTTTTTTTGCATTTCTCCCTGAGACAGGCGCTTTTGTCCTAAGAGCAAAAAATATAGTAGAGAAAAAAAATGTTTTGATTTCGACATTTCTACCTGACATGCTTTTATTCTGAATTCGCAATGCAGCTTTATGTCACTGGCACCGCCCCCTTCCTCACCTGCTTTGAGTGGGGCAGAGACTGTAGGCTGCGCTATCAGCTAAATTCTACATTCAGAGACCTTCGAATGAGGTAAAACATCTATTTATAATATCTTGTTGTTAGTTTACATTTAAATTTAGAACATATAATTCAAGCTCATCTTAATCCTGGGATGGACACCTTTCTACTATTGAGCTGCTAATTTCACTAAAGTCATGTCAACCAACCAATACATATTTTTCATCTGATTTTTAGCAAAATACCGCCACTATGGGACCTTTAAACGAAACCAGGACTCTGTCTTCTTGAAAAGAACTATTTCAGTGTTTGTGTCGTTTACACACTAAACTCAGC